ATGCTCAAGAGCCCACGAGAGTCGCTGCAGTCGATGTCAAGCTGTCAGTAAAGGCACTCGAGTCGGTCTTCTGCTGGCATAGCCTAAGGAAGACAAATTTCGCCGCACTGTCCTATCGGACACGTCCCTCGTACGTCCCACATTGATTTCTGCGGTTATTTGATGCAGTGTTGCTTGTCTGTGAACACTAACAACTCTACGCAGACGTTGCTGGTCTCGGTCATTAAGTGCAGGTGATCGGCCACTGCGCTGTCCATGGTGGGATGTTATGCCTGAAATTAGATACTCTCGGCACACTCTTGACACTGTGGATCTCGGAATGTTGAATTCCCTAGCGATATCCGAAATATAATGACCCATGCGTCTAGCTCCAACTACCATTCCGCGTTCAAAGTCTGTTAATTCTCGTCCTGCGGCCATAATCACGTCAAAGCCTCTTCACATGAATAACTTAAACACAAATGAAAGCCCTGCCAAAGCACTTCACATTTATACATTTTCTAAGCGATACTACTGCCATCTATATATTTGCATATTGCTATCCCATGAATTTTGTCACTTCAGTGTAGTGCGCTGCAAAGGGTTAAGAGCTACAGAGCAGCATATGTTTAGAATTCCCAATGCAGTGTTAAGTACTGGCACACATTTAAAAATTTTTCTGTTTTTTCTCCGCCCATCATATTAATGTTAAGTTTTCTTAGCTAAATGGCTTAAAAAAATATTTGGCAAAAAATTTATTAAAAAAAAATCTTTTTTTATTAATTTTTTATGTGTTAACTTTATTTGTTTAATATCACATTCCTTACACTTAGATCACATAAAATTCAATTCAACAGCAAAATCACAAAATATTTAAAAACACTATACCTTTAGAATTCCTAACAGAGTGCTAAAGGTTGTTATACACTGCTCGACATTGAAAATGCAACACCAAGATGGCGTGGTCAGAAAGTGATGAAATTTGGAAAAAAGACAGATACAGCAAGCAGCAATAAGTGGTCTTTATTTCAAAATGATAGTCAGAACACAGAGCGAGAATGGTGTCGGATTAGTAGGATGTAGGACCATTGCGGACAACGATGCACGAAGAAACACATCTAGGCATAAGAGTGTGGATGGTGTCCCGAGGGATGGCTCTCCGTTCCCTTTCAACCATTTGCCACAGTTCATCTTCTGAACGAGGCAAGAGGCAGAATCTGCAAACAGCGTCCAATCACATCCTACACATGTTCACTTGGTGACAGGACAGTACGGTGGCCAGGGAAGCATTTGTATACCTTGCAGAGCATGTTGGCAGATGCCAGCACTGTATGGTTGGACGTTATCCTGCTGAAAAATTGCATTAGGCAGCCCCTGAAGATAGGGGATTGCCACTGGCCGCAGTACATTATCTAAGTGTCGTTGGGCTGTCATAGTGCCCTGAATACGAACTAGAGGTGACCTAGAATAGTAGGCAATAGCGCTGCAAACCTTTATGCCACACTGTCGCGCAGTGGGGCATTCCACAGTTACTGCTGGATTAGATCTGTCTCCATGTCGACGCCACACCCAAATGCGGTGACTGTCACTGGATAAAGAGCAGTGTGACTCATCTGAGAACACGACGTTTCGCATTCTGTCATCCACATCGCTCCAATCCGTCACCATTCTAAATGTTGGTGTCTATGCTGTGGGGTCAATAGCAATCTTCTTAATGGACATTGTGAGTGCACGCCACGTTCAGCCAATTGACGGGAAATGGTTCTGGTCGGCATGGGAACATCCAGGGTATCTTGCACATGCTGCAGAATCGCAATACAAGTGACTTACGGGACTGCCACAGCTTGTTGGCGGATGTGTCGATCCACGCATGCTGACGTCACTCTGGTTGCACCCCTTCTTCTTCCCATATTTCCTTGTTACCATGTTTGCCATAGCCGATGCACCGTGCTCGCATCCATGTGGGTATCAGCTGCGATTTGAAGTAAGGACCAATCCACCCTTCTCAGTCCGATCACCATACCCCTTCGTAAAATCGTCTATCTGCTGGAAGTGCCTTCGTTGATGGTGGCCTGGCATTCTCTTCTATCACACGTATCCTCCGGGACAAAAACCAACTTTCTTCGATAATTCGTCTGGCAGAAATAACGACACAAATACTGAGCATTCTGCACATTCCTTCTCTTATATCTTACTTCAAGTATGTCGGAGAGCTGCGCATTTCACATCATTCGCATAACTCAGTGACGTGCGTCTACTCTAAAATTTGCATAAATTTCTGACCACTCCTTCTTGGTGTTCCATTTTCAATGTCGAGCAGTATACATATTTTTATATTCGCTATATTATTTCTTTAAAAACTAACTGCTTGCACAACCAGGGGCCTCAAATATTTATCACAAGAAGAAAAGTATATAATGATTTTAATGAGCCCAGGTAGTGTAATTTCATAAAAATATTGAAATATTTCTAATTAAACATTCCATGACTTTAATACATGTCATACAATCACATTAAAAGTAGACAAAAATATCCTTAAGAACTGTGTTTTTTGCTCAAATCACTTAGTTTATAACTGAATAACATTCCAGATTAAATTTGAAAAATTGATTAACTTATGCTTTACTGAATGGCAACATGCTGTAACATGGAAGATGGAAGATAAAAGTATTTTATTTCTAGTTGCAGCAATACTTTGCTTTCATAGAGCCGAGTTTGTTAATAAAAATTAAAAGATAAATGTTTTAAAAATTTGATGGCTTCAGGTACCATCGTTTTTTCACAGTGCGAGGTACACTGCGAAAAAAAAGAGGGGAGGGGGGACAGGGGGCCGATTGAAGAAATTCAAATTGGGTTTTTCATGTCTCGAAAGTGCGACTTAGGATATATATTAGATTTATATATAGCATTGTTCTAACACACGTATTTTGGTACAAAATCAGTTTTTCTGAAAAAACATAGCTTTTTTCCCATATTTCAATTATACAACTCAAACTACGCCTAGATATTAAATTTTGTAATTTTTGGTGGGAAATTTATGGAGAAATTTAAAAACTTATTTTGGTGCATTTTTTCAGTTTGTGGCAAAAATAATTCACTTGGCAAACTGCTTAATTTATAACAACCTATTTTCCTTTCCTTTTTTTCTTTGTACATGAGTGAAAAAATGGTCATCATTCATACTTTCAAATCATTCATTATTGGCATTATTATCGCTTATAATAAATACTTTCAAAACATGCCAATATGTAAATTCATGTATCTCTTAGAAAATTTTGGGAAGGAAGGAAGGGGGGAAAAAACCCCTTCAATTTTTGCAGGTATGCTTAAAAATACATCTATTTTATGATGATAGTAAAAATATATAGGTTATAATACAAATTTTTTTCCAAAAATTTCTAAAAAATGTGTGAATTATATTTGGATTAAGCCTGAATTTTGAATTCTGGAAGAAGGTAGTTTAAAAATAATAATAAAATATACACCAAATTCAATTAACATTGAGGAGCTAAAGGTTTGCGAGCTAATTTTTTAAATACCATACAATTTTTACAAAACTTGGCACTCTGGCATAATTTGAGTCGTAGGATAGAAATATGGAAAAAATTGGTATGTCATTTCAGAAAAAGTCCAATTTTGTGTTAGAATACTTATATTAGAAAAATGCTATACAGTACAAAGTCTGTAATCCGGACGTCCATTATCCGGAACGATCTATAATCTGGATCGCAAAGCCACAAACTTTTTTTTTGTATGCTTTACGCATGCGCAGTTTAATGTTTACGCATGTGTGTTTAGCACAAAAAACGAAGCAACTTAAAACAACTTACACTGAAAGAAATGTTTAATAAAGTAAACAAATAAATATTAAGCTTTTTTTCTTGTAAATTTTGATAATCTTTAGATCATAATTGCTCTTTATTTTATAAATTACGGTTTCATATTTTTAATTGTATAATCTGCATGCCATCTTACCAGATTTAAATTGATGATCTATAACCCGGAAAAATCCTTAATCCGGAAACGCTGTCCGGATGAGTCCGGATTACGGACTTTGTATTGTATATAAATCTAATACATATCCTAAGTCACACTTTCGAGACATGAAAAATGCATTGACAATCAGCCCATTAGAATGGGAGATCCTTTTTTTTTTTTTTTTTTTTGTTGTGTGTGTGTGTGTGTGCAGTGTATAATACCACACACATACACACAGATTCTTCACTATTTAATTTCTTCAAAAATAATACAAGGAAACATTATTTGATGGCAAAAATTTGAAAAGTGATATGCAATTTGTAGTGAATCAATGCAAATTCCTATTTTGAGACTAATTGCCCCTTTTGGGCTTTTTTTAAGCCTCATTAATCACCTACTTATTTATTTTTAACTCCCTATTAACTGAGGGCAACCAGGTTTTATCTAGGGGGGAACTTAAGTTGATGATGTAATACTACCAAATCATGAAAATAAAGCAAAATTTCCACGTGAAATACAAGAAAATGCTTCAGATAACAGCTTAATAGCAAATGATGTCATAGTATTTAAGAATTTAGGAATCCATGACAGTATGTAACTGAATCTGGAAAATCATAATCTGGAAAATATGTTCTTCAATCATCCATTAAATTAAACTGCTAAATCACACAAATAAATAAAGTGTATAGTTATGAATTTTTTGTTTCTTATTTACTTATGTTGAAATACAAAAGTAATATGAACAAAAACAGTGCTTTTTCTGCTTTGAAATATTTTCTTGTTTTGAACGCAGATTTAATTCACACATTCAAATGAGCTTATCTTCCAAATTGTTCAAAAATATGGGCTATTCCTTTTTTTGCATTTTTTCAACTGCTGTTGAATTCATTGTAATTTTACATGAAGATGTATATTTTCCATTAAATTTAAAATGTACTTTTCATTAAACTTAAAAATTAATAATAATAATAATAATAATTGAATCATTAGAGCAATTTAAAAGTTAAAAATTAATAGATTTTTTAGGGAAAATAAAGTCATACCTATCCATAATACCCAATAACTGTTTACGGACATCTTGAGCTCTCTTTAAAGTTCGAATCTGCACAAAATTTTCATAACACCATGCATTGGAAAATTTGTTATTTTTCCATGAATTATAAACAGCTAAAAGTGTTAAGTGGTCACCTTCTGGCTGGTTAAACTTTGCTTTTTTCTGATCAGCCACAGCTTGCTTATCCTACAAAGAACAAAGACTTTGTTTCAACATGTGTGTTAAATAGTAACTCATAAAATATAAATAAAATAAGAATTACAACAGTTACACCAATACTAAAATGAATGACTTTACAATAATACATATATTAATTTAAAAAAAATGGTCAAAATGAAAAGTAAATTTTATTATTTACTCACATATTTTCCCAACATACAAGTTTCTATATCATTTACATGTTTCTTATTAGTATCATTCTATCTGTATGTAGTATGTATGGCATGATCCACCCTTCTGGCAAGCCCAAGCTCACCTTATGCCTTTTTTAGACCGGCCACTCTCCACTACAAATGAGGATGGCCAGTGGCACCGCTGTGCTCCAAAACAAAGCCTGTCTTTATGAAGGATGGAAAGTTCTTCCAGAAAACAAAGTCCCAAGTGCCGAGTAACATAAAAGTTAGTTAACAAAGCAAACCAAGGAAACATATAAATTACAGCCTATATTATTTCTACTTTAAAAATGTAAGTAATAAACAGTCCAAGATGAAAGAAGAAAACTTAGAATAACTAAGTAAAATGAGGGTTAAATCTTTAAAAAAATAAATAAATAAAAATAAAAATAAAATAAATAAATAAATAAAAAGAAGGAAAAACACATAGGACAACACAACATACATATGCAGTATCCAGCAGCAGTCATAGTGGGTGTTCTTTGCTATTGTTCTATTCCAATTGTGACCAGGTTTATATTAATGCTTTTGACTCTTTTGCTATATTTTTTGCTTCATTTGAATTATAAACCAGGTCTTTCAAGGCCTCTTTGCTATTCCTAAGGTCTTTTGCCAATTCACACTTTTTCACATACTACTTACTTGTTATTTTCCAGCCTTCTGCTTAGGAAACAGGTAGCGTTTTCTTGAATTTTAAATCTGTTTAGCTATGCCAGAAATCTACCGTGACTTGAAAGGATCTGACAAAGGTTTATATCGTTTATGTTTTTAATTTTTAATTTTTTTTTTAAGATTGCAAGGGTGTCCGCTACTCATTTCCCTCATATCCAACATGCATCATTCTATTTGTATCCCACTTCACTCCCATTTATATTAACAGCAAAATGTTTCATTAATATGATGCATAACTCCTCTGTACGTCATTCCATCTTTCCCAACTTACTCAGATTCTCCTCCCCCCTCCAATGACTCAAATAGTTTTTCCAAAGGTCACTTTTTACTTTTGGCAACAAGAGAAATTTGATGTGGAGATATGGAGAGGAGAAAGATGACAAGATAGATATCTAGAACAGGCAATGGGATTTTGCAGATTACGCAGGTTTGCTATCAGGAGATGCTTTATTACTATACCACTTGGCTAACACATTCTAACCAAATTATTTGTTTTTTTACCAAATTTTGTTTATTTGTTTTATAAACTTAAACTGATGCTAAAAGATTATAAAGTATTTTCTCCCTACTTTCTGCATGCCTTCGTGGTGTAACTAGAAGCATACTCGACGCGTATTTGGGAGACCCAGATTTCAAATCCCAAAACAAGGGCAATGCAAATTTTTTTGATTTCCTTGCTTCAAAAAATTCTAAAAGCCTCTACAATTCAGGCCTGAACTAAAAGGCGGTGAAGATAATTTGTCAACCCTAGGATTTGGTGATAGAGTCCCTTAATCACCAGTTGCACTTTAAAAGGGACAGTACATACGGTATATTTTAAAAAGTTTAAAAAAGCACTATGCAATGAAACAGTTAATTACAAATGATGATCAATAGGCTATTTAGATGCAATTTTGGGCTCAGTTCTAATGATTAAAAATTAATTAATTAATAAAAATAAAATACCTTAGGTCTATAAAATACATTCTGAACAGACAACATGGACACAATTGTAAGTATTTCTTCACTGCAGCCTAAATGCACAGACATAATGAGCATTTTGGAAAGATTAGGTTCCATTGGAAATTCTGCCATCTAAATGAGGGAGAAAAATATTTGCATCATAATTAAAAAAAACATACATGATATATATTGCATGCTTAAATATCCATAAAAATAAAAATATTCATACGGAATACGAAAATTTTAGGTAGAATGAAACTTTTTGATAAGAAGCTGAAACTTAATAGATTAATGCTGAATACAAAATATAATTATCAAGAATTTTTCTTCCAATATAACATTTTTTATTGAGCAGCACTTCTCAGAAATTTTGCCCTGGAGAGATCCTTGTAATATTATTTAGCTTCCATGGAATTTCTGCATGAAAGTACCATGTCTATCACTAATAGTATATTAACCTAATCATAAATTGTGTGGTAGTGATATTCTGAATGAAGATGAGTATTTGAGGGAATGCTATTTCAAATTTCTGTGTACTTATTTATTTTATCCAAGATATAAGGCCATATTTTTAAGTTCCTAATATAATTTCCTTTTCTGTTTTAAGGGATTATAATTTCTAAGCATTTTTCTTATTTAAGGGATCATATTATTCATTCATTTCAAATGAAATAAATCAACATGATGTATTAGATACTATCTAGCGACTCAGAATCAGTCTTCATGAATGAAAACTGTAATTACGTAATAGTATTGTATCACTTATCTCAACAGCACAGAACAGATTTTTTTAAATGATTTTTTCTTTGAATACAATTATTGAAATTTTTGAATAAAAAATTAAATACATGTAAAAAACCAAATCCTTAAATAAATAAAAAAAAAAAAAAAAAAGTGAAAATCATTGCATCTAGTGTAATGAGGATTGAGCAGAATTTAAAAATTTTATTTATGACTATATGGCATTAAATTACTTTGGTTATCAACCACTTAGGAAATGAATTAATATGAACAATATTTTTTAATGTGTCATGCTGGAAATAAAACAAGATTTTAGAAAACGAAAATTCATCAATTACCACAAAATATTTGGCATAATATTAGATAGTTTTTCAAATTGAGAAAATTTATAACACATTAAAAAAAGTTTTAATATAAAAATTTTTTACTAAAATATTTTAATAAATCTATGAGTGATATTATTCAAAATAAAGGCGCACGTATTTGGCTTTTCTGCAATGACAGCTGGTTTCGCTTCTAATTTTATGTTTATACAGTCAAAAGTCGTTAATCCGGACTCGTCGGGACTTCGGCAATTCCGGATTATCGATTTTTCCGGATTATAGATCATCAGTTAAATCTCGTAAGATGGCATGCAGAAATTCTAAAATTAAAAATATGAAACCGAAATTTATGAAATAAAGAACAATTAAATCATATCAAAGACGGAGCATATCGAGATGAAATACTACATTTGGTAAGGAATTATAAGCCAAATAAAATAAAAACATCTGCGCTGAAGATAAGGATAGTGCTGACAAATCAACTTCCAATTCATTAGGCACCCACCGCCGAGCAGCGTGAAATTTATAAACAGATTTCGGATTTCAAAACATACTTTCGCTTTAGATCCTTTACATATTAACAAATATATATCGGAAATTCTATTTGATATAATCGAAAGTTTAAGCTTACTTTTATAAAATTGCTCTTACAGTCTGCAAAAAATAATAAGCCGGATGCAATTCGAAAATTAAGGAACAACGCAATCATCAACATTAACTGAAATAGATAATTAGATAATTTTAGCTTATACGTCCATTATACATAAAATGCGCACGCGAAAACGTATTCTGCACTTGCGCACACTCATATGCGCAGTCGTAAAAGGTCTTACGCGCACGCGTGAACGCCTCTGCGCATGTGTCAACATGGCGCATGCGCAGAAAGTTTTTAGTTTTGATGTCCGGATTATAGATCATTCCGAATTATGGGTGTCCGAATTAACGACTTTTGACTGTAATATACATGGCTCTTTTGAGTACTGTGTCATTTTTCTGAGCAAGCAAAATTATGCCAATTTAATCATGGAAATTATACCAATTTGTGACCTAAAAATTAATTACCTCATGAAAGAATTACCTACATGTTTAAATTTACAAAATACTGATTCAAATTTCCTGAGTTAGATTTAGCATCCTTCATTTTGACACTAGAAATGCAAAATGAGTCTAGCTCATTGAATAATTCTAAAGAGTTAATTTCTTTAAAAAGACAGATTTTTTTAACTTTTGTTGGCAAGAATTTTTAATTTGCTACCTAATTACTAATTTATAGCGTAAGAGAATAGAACAGATATATAGGATCTTATGTTTTGTGAAGGAATATCATTCTGTTATTAATGATTCTTAAAATACACCCTTTTCTCTTACGGCATGGACGAAGATAGCATGAAACAATATATTTTTTTCATTTAATATTTGGTTTGATGTAAAATTTCTAAAACGATCACTTCTCTGAAATACCACCAGACATTTAATAAAATTTTCAGTATGTATTATCCACATTCTGTGGTGGATTCTGGAGATTTGCGAAGAGCCAGATATTGTTTGACATTCTTGCATAAAACTCTTTTATCAACAGTCCCAGTTACTTCTGCCATATGTTTCTGGAGTAGAAACATATTAGTTCATTCTTCCTTCTTCAACCCTTTCTGAAGAATCATGTGACAAGCACTCAAATTTACCACAAATTCCAGGGCACTAATCCAATCTTCCAGTGTCATCTTATGAACCCTAGGCTTTCTGCCAATTCTACCACAATTTGTCATCACCTTCACTAGCTTCTGACAGATGCTTATCTTTCTACCTTTCATCATTACAGAACAGCTGAAGCCAATACTAGTATAAGCATCCAATAAAGCACTATTGCCACACATGCGATATATCCTTCAACATGGTTTTGCTGCACTGTACCCAATATCATACTTTGTAAAAGGCAAAATAAAATATGCTCTAACTGCATTTAAAAATTTTTTCTCTTCTACAACAGCACTTAGAAGTGTACACAACATCCATACCAATGTCTTTTACTAGACAGAGTAATGGACAATCCTATATTATCACGAACATAATCACAGCCAAAGGTTTCCAATATCAAAAGTGTTATAAACTTTACTGGAATATAAATAAAAGAGAAAAGTTAAATTAAAAAATAAAATAAAAATAGTATACAAATTTTAATACACTGGTAGCTAAATCATGCGCTGAATGTTGCTGCAATTTAGTGGTAATAATTTAAAATTAAACTAAAAATTTAAGTCAAATTCAAAAATAATATTCAGACAAGGCAAAGTTAAAAAAATACAAAATTCTTTTAAAACAATGCAAAAAATCACTACTTAAAATTGCTTTAAGTAATTTTTTTAAAATTAAATAATCATTCCATGTTATAGTTCATATTTAAAAAATATAATATTCTTCTGTTTTTTTTCAAGATTCCTTTACTCTCCTGGTAGAAATTTGTTACTTCCAGGAGAAATCTAATTCTGGCAGAAGTATTTAACAAACCAAATCAATTTTGATTACACTGCAATATCTTTAATTAAGGCACAATTTTTTATCGTAATTTTATTCCTATCAAAAGCAGTGCCACCCAGACAATATAGTGATTCGTGACCCTGACTGCCATACTGATAGGCCCAAAACTGAATCGTGGAGAAGGCATGGATATTTTCAAGTGTATAGTGTCTGTGCCGCTAGGGGCACTAAACAAAACAGGGAGCTGAAAGTTCTCTCAAGTGGTTGGTGATAGGGAAAGAATGGTGGGAGACCTTCAGACTGCCCCTGGGATGTTTGTACAGCAAATCAACGCCCTAGGGCAAGACATTTGCGAGCCACAGTAGCATGGTACTGCAGACAATGTACTCAACTATTAGATATTCGCAGTATGTACACATTCTGTAATACACATTCCACATTCAATTTCGAGCCTCGTGTTAACATCTGCTTTCAATAGCCACCAACTTGCAGATATAATGTTACTGACATGTTTATCAGTGTAAAGCACTGGGCACCCAATGGAATGATGTGTTATCGTAAATCGAAATATATAATATCCGTACAATGCACGAATGTAGGGTATGCAACGAAATATGTAATTCATGCAACAGAAGCCCCTAATGAAAGTATGTACATTATGTATTATGGGAACTGAGCATATTTCCGCACAGCACTACTGCTTTACGCACACCTTACTATGTCTTATATGTTTCCTCTGAGTGTAATATTTGCATTTATGTGCTCTACGTGTTTCCATATGTATTCTATGTGTCATGATATGTATTTTCGTGTGTGTTTCTATGTCTTTATGTTACGTAATTACGAGTGTGTTTTTATGCTTTTATGTTTAATCTTGTATATCTATGTGTTTCAGCTTATATGAGTGTTTTAGTGTTTTAATGCTATCCTTTATATTCTTTCTAAGTTACTTTGTGTTATTAACAACGTCCTATGTAAAAACTACCCGACATCTAGCCCCTGTATGGCCATGTAAACTCCTGGTGCAGCCTCACGGGGCTCCAGCGAGTTGCTTCTTCGAGATAGTGGAGGACGTGGGACATATGCCTGTTTACCTATGTTATACGTCAGGCGTCCCCGTCCTCCGTCACCTGCCCCTGGGATGTTCTCCCTCAAAATTCGGGTGGAGTTTTACATATAGCGTGGTTAGACTATGCCTGTACAACCTATGGTGAAATTCTAGGGTTGTACCCACTTATACCTGTACCTGTACTAAAAGTAGCAAATCAAAATTTAAATTATTACTCTTGGTTGAATATTGTGTTCAAGCTCTAATTTCATCAGCAGACAATAAAATGAAAATGATCATGAAATATTTTATGGTAATATGTGACAAATAATGATAAATCTAGCAACATATGTTTAATTTCCAGAAATAGAAAATACATATCTGGGGAAAGAATAAAAACTGTTTTGAAATGAATTTAAATGAAAATGAAGTAATCCGTTTTAAGGAAAAATAATCCGCTTTAAGGTGAAGTACTAATGATGAGTTCTCAAGCAAGTTTCCAAATGAAATAATTTATAAATCCTGTAATAAAATATTTGGTGATAGTATAAAACTGGCATCAGAGTTGGTGCAACTGGTGTGGCGGCAATAGGTGGATAAACTTAGGCGTGGGAATTTTTTTTTTTTTTTTTAGAATTTATTAGAAACATTAAACAGCAGAATTTAGGAAACACAGAGACTGCACTGGGCAGCACTAGCACCAGCCCTGAATATATATAATATTCAGAAATTAACAAATTAGACTTTAGAATTTGTAATTCCACTTGCTTTGATTCTTCCAAATCTTATTGAAGAAAATTCAAAGAAAACCTTGACAGAGAGTGGTGTCAAATGAGATCTGCAGAGGCATTGAAAGTAGACTTCATTTTCTTAAGTAAAGTTTTTGAAATAAAAAATATTGTAGGAAAACAAATATATCCTAATTTAACAGTTTAGTTAAAGCTATATTTTGCTTCCCTCATGTGTCAGCAGCAACTGTAAGAATATTTATATCAGTGACAACAAAGACAGCATTAGAAATCAACTACAAACTTGAAGAACTCCTTTTGACAAAGAAAAATGAAAACATTAATGGGTGACAGATTTTGCTATTTCACAAGAATTTATTAATTTAGCAAAATTTATTAAAAAATAATAAATAAGCAAGAATGTATGTGATTAGCATATTATGTAAATGAAATATAATTATGTCATCTGAAATTGAAATAACTAAAATGCTTGCAAAAAATATTAAAGAATGAAAAATGCAAGCTTCATCGATCAGTACAGTGAGTCTTGAAACTTTCCTTCTTATATTTGTCACACATATGTTAATTTAGCACATTTAAAGTGAATTTAATATACATTGAATTTATCTATAATAACTAAGTAATACAAAATGTTCTAGAAGTAATGAAACAAAAACAAATATAAATCATTTTAAAATATAATATTTTGCTGAATCACCACCCTCAGCCCAAGCATTTAATTCCCAAATACAAAAAATATTCCTTCCCCTCCCAAAAAAAGTTTCCATTATGAATAGTTTGAAAAAGCTTACTCGTCTTCCAAGTCTTGTCAGCAAGCCTTCATCATCCAAAGCACTCAAAGAATGCAATTGTTCAAGTGCCATAATTAGAGACTAAAAAGATATAAAAAATATCATCAGATATCCTTTATAAAATAAAAAGGGGGGGGGGGTCACAAACAGTAACAAAATATATGCTGCTTCACAAAATTACACCTTTGGAAAGTTACATAATACAAACTTAAATCTGCAATATTTTTAGAAAAACTATTATCAAATTGATTGGTTTAATTTCAGATGATACAATGCAGACTATAAAATTTAACTTCAGTTGTGCTTCTCTTTCTCTCTCTATATATAAATATATACATACATACTTACACATAATTATTAGAAATTTGTTTTACATATTAACGTAACTAACTATAATTTGCAGTAGCCCTTTTCTAATTTGGTTACTTTCCCTTTCTATCCTAGAAACAGTTATATATTTAAATAAACCTCTATATTGAGTCATTTCAAAATTAATCCTTCTTACCTGGTTTTTAAGTAACACCAATGACATAAGTAATAACATGATGTTTCAACCAATAACAACATTGACATTTGCAAACTGAAATCTAAATTAACTAATAACAATAAAGTCAGGCCACAACTCAGTTTTATTCTTAAATAAACCTTCTCCATTTCTCTATTTTGCCGACTGTTTGTTATTTCTTTCTCCAAACCTCTTCTTATTAAATAATGAGCGTATGTATGCATCTTTCTTGTACTGTGGAAAACAACATTATTTAGAGCAACCAAATTTTGAACACACAGCCTTCTAACCAAACACTGTGCAGCCAAAATTTTGAATTTCTTAAAAATTTATTTTATGCTTTGTGCAAATGTAATGCAATTTTGAGTAATAAATTCATTAATTTAAATGCAGTGTGTTAACAACTCAATAAAGTATACGGTATCTGTTCAAATTTATGGAAAACAGCAGTTTAAGGACACACACAAAAATGTAAGCTGATTAATTAACAAACTCAAGGATTTTAAAAGAAATGTACAGATTGTGTGTGAAGTAAATTATTTTTATCTTCATGCACCATAATGCCATTTGGCAAAACATAAGATATTTAAACTTTCTATCAAATTTTATCAGTCTGTTACTGGCAAACTAAGCAATTTTAAAACTAATAAACACAGTTCTTAGACTTTATTGATAATAAACTAGACAGGCAAAATTATACTAACAGATTTCTTAAAATTATTTACAGATTTTTTTTCTTTTTGATCAAAACTATTTTAGCTGGCACACGCAGGCAGCTAGTATAACAATAATGTAAGAAGTACCAATGTAACTATTCAAGAAATGTGCACTTTGTGCATTAATTTAGTAATACTTGAATAAAAAATATCTATCTACAGTAAAAGAAAAGTCAGCCAGCTATGATTGCAACCATTTCTTTATGAATTAAAATTTCCTCACCGATATCTATGACATCACTAAAAATTCTTTCACGATACACATATATTTTCTTCTTAATCCTATTTTAGATTCAGTTGAAATGAAGATGCAAAATCAAATTGAATTTTTTGCACAATTGTCTGCAGATGACAATAGTAGTATGGTCCACTTACAAGAATATATATATATATATATATAAAAGACTCCCTTGAGGCACTTATGATCAAGAAAAAATTAAATGATAATGGATATTAATAATACTCTCTCTCTTTAAGTCATTATAGATGTGACAAACTTGATCTACCTTAGCTCAACTAAATAATGAACTTACTTGAATACTTATTTTAAGCTGACCAATGACAATGAGACAAAAATTCTGAAACACTTCTAGTTCACTTAAATTTTATTCCCGATAAATGAAAGCACATCCTGTACGGGGTTTTCTTCATGTATAATATAATTATAGCCAAGTTTCCTTTAAATGTTCTCCAAGAAAGCATGCCTCTCATAGGTAGATATCCCTGATACATATTGTCATGATTAAATAATTCAGTCATAATTTAAAAATGCAGATCTAACTGTAAATAATATCATTTGATAATAAAAATATATCGTATTGATATACTTTTCTGTTGCAGAGAATGATGCATTAGAATTCACACAGCAACTTTGAAGATAATACACATAAGAACTTTTAATAAAGAGATGAAAGAGAGTACAATTATTATCATCTAAAAAATTGAATTAAAAGGATGCCTGAACTATATAACTTAAAATACTCTCACACCCCATTCATGAAAACAGTATATTTTATTCTAGAACAACTAGCATATACATATTCATTCTACCTATAAGGCAGATTACTATTTTCATATCTGGGATATAAATTAATACCATATACTGGTAAAAACAAGATGTTTAGTAAACTTGATCAAGCCTACCTCAGGTGGGGGTGCGTCCATAAAGTCGAATGATAAAAGATCATTAATGCCCATTGCTTTTAACTGCAAGACTGTTGATGCAAGATTTGTTCTTTGTATCTCTGGAACTGGTGTTGTTAACATTTCATCTCTATACGATCTCTCTGTATATAATCTATAACATTTTCCAGGTCCTGTCCTTCCAGCTCGACCAGCTCTCTGCTTAGCCTGAGCCTATAAAAAAATTATAGTTATTAACCAAACATAAAAAATAAAAAATTTGCAAGCATTATGCAGAATTTTAATAAATTTCTATTTTTTAACTTGCATTTTATTTTAACACAGAATGCACAGTTAAAAAATACAGCAATATTATTTATTAAAAAAGATATAACAGCCTGTATTCAAGAAAGAATAATGATTTACTTTCAGCCGTGCATACACAAACATACACATACACACAAAGGGAAGATTTGCAACTAAATACCAAAGATTAACAGAAAATAACGGTGATTATATGGTATACTGTAAGAAAAAAAAAAACCCTCGCTTTGAAAGGTAACTGCAATAATCTCACTGCATGAGTTTAGTCCATCTTTAGAAAAGAAGCATTGGTCATGATTAAGCAACATTTGTAAACTAAGCAAAGAAAGTATGCAAATATTTTATACAGTACAGATTTGCTAAACATGGTAAGCCTATCTGTATATCACAAACATAATTTAACTTAAGCCCTTAATGCACCAGTAAAGATTCAAAAAGTGATCCTTTTTTATTGTTTGTTTTACTTCAACATCTTTGATCTTCTTTATTTTAATTCAAAACTGTAATGAATATATTGCTGTAGTGTTCATATTTAAAAAAAAAAAAAAAAAAAAAAACTTGAATACATTTACTCATACACATAAAAATAATTTAGTTCAGTGTATCCAGTTAACTCAGTTGAATGCATTAAGGGGTTAATATTCTTTAAGAATGTATCAAGTACTGGATATTAGCAATTTCATATTATAATGAATTCCATTTTTTAAATGCCAAATTGGCACCAGGATTATCATTTTTTAAAATTTTTATTAATACCTTATGCTATCACAGATGTATTAACATTACACTTCTAAAAATATTTCTGTTCCCTTTTGGCATTTAGGCATGAAATTTGAGCAAAATAATAAAAATAAACTTCCCCTTTAATAAGGTACACTGCACACTCACACAAAAAAAGGGTGGGTGGGGACAGTTTTATATCTCCTATTCTACTGGGCCGATTGACGAAATTCAACTCAACGATAACTCGTTGCGTTAAATGCTAACACTACCACACAACACATAAAAGTAGATTTATAATAAAAAAAATCTCATGCAGAACATCCTACACCTAACATTTCAACTCAGTTAAAATATAATTTAAGTTTTCTTTAAATATGAAGCTATAGCATACTTGTTAAGAAGATGTGTAACCAATATTACATCATAAAAAGGTGTGTCCAAGTCTAAGGCAAGTAAACAGTGCATTGATTGATGCAGCCTATTCTAGGATTGAGCCAATATTTATACAGATTAGAATGTTAGCAAACAATGGAAAATAAACAAAATTCCTGCAACAAAACTGATGCAAAATTTAGCGCATAGAATGCAATACATATCCAATTAAAATTAGGAATCTTTCGACTGTTGCAAAGAACTTTAATGTTAATAGAAAATCTTCAAAGGACAGTTGCATAATCACTAAAATACTCAGTGTCAACTGTAAACAAAGTGATTAATACTGATTTGAATCTAAAAAAAAGCAAAGAAACGTAATGTGCATTCTCTTTCTCCATGACATATCGCCGAAAGCAGAATGGGCTGCACAATTCTCTATGAGAAATAATTCTTAGGACATAAATGTGGAAAAGTGTTGTCACAATAGATGAACCTTGGATTTATTTAAATGGCTGCAATAAAAAAAAAGAGGTCCATTTATTATCATCAAAGAGAGAAAAAAATCTAACCACATGGTTCAGAGTCTAAATAAAGTTTTTCAAAGGGATTTATGATTGTTGCTGGTTCTTGATATAGCGAGAAATAAAAATTAAAGAGAGTGCAGAAAACTGTTAAGTCCAATTTTCAAATATGAAATATCTTCTCTTTACTCACAGTGCCATCAATCAGTAAAACTGCATCAAGACAAAGCTAGCAGCCGCACATCAAAATCCACTGTTCATTTCCTGGGGAAAATGGAATGAAAAACGTGTATTAAATCCCTATTAAATCTCCTAATGTATCATTCACAGAGTTTTGCTATTTTGGATTTTTAAAAAGCAGATAGTCCAGATGTCACTCTAATACCCTCCATAGACTGGAAAGCTGTTCATGATGAATGGGATAAAATACCTCTTCCGCTACTGAAAAATAAAGCTTTATTGTCTTGGAAATTATGGTGTAGGAAGATAATGAAGAATACAGGCTATCAAATGGAACATTTAAAAGACAAAAATTTTAAGTAAAATATTTCTGTAAGTACACTGCGGGGGGGGGGGAAGGAAAGGGGGACAGTTCTATATCTTCCGTTCTAATGGGCAGATTGATGGAATTCAATTTGAGTTTTTCATGTCTCGAAAGCGCGACTTAGGATATGTATTAGATTTATATATACCATTGTTCTAATTTAGGTATTTTGACACAAAGTTGGACTTTTCTGAAATAACATACCAAATTTTTTTATATTTCGATTCTACGACTCAAATTATGCCAAACTACCAAGTTTTGTAAAAATTGCACGAGTAGTTTTTCAAAAATTAGCTCTCAAAATTTCAGCTCCTTAATGTTAATTGAGTTTGGTTTATACAGTACAAAGTCCGTAATCCGGATGTCTATTATCTGTACTGATCTATAATTCAGACCTCAAAGCCACAAACTTTTTTTTGGCATGCTTTATGCATGCGCGTTTAATGTTTAATGGACGGTATAAGCAAGGCTAAAATTATCTTTACTGATTCTAAGACATTTCAGTTAATGTTGCAGATTGCGCTGTTCCTTAATCTTCTAATTGGATCCGGCTTATTATTTTTAGCGGACCGTTACAGCAATTTTATAAAAATCAAGCTTGAACTTTCGATTATGTCAAAAAGAGTTTCCAATTCTGGAGCTGCCAAAGGATGTTTCGATGTGCCGCTTCCGATAGTGAAGAAAGTAACAGAGAGGTTACTGAAAATGAAAAAACTTCAATTGACGAATTAGTCGCTATTCTCGATACAGCAATTACAGAACTTGAACAGTGGAACTTTGTATCTGAAAAAGAAATTATGTCTGTTTATAGAATTAAAGAGAAAGTATTAGCACAAAAAACAAAGCAACTTAAACAACTTTCATTGAAAGAATGTTTAATAAAATAAACAAATAAATGGTAAAAGTATAGTTTAGGGTACCCCTTGGCGAAACTTGCGATTTTTGGCGGTACATGGATACCATTTTGTGCAATTCTTTGACTCGTTATTTTGGCTTGCGAAGTGGCAATTTTTGCGCCAAAAATCGCCGCTAAACAAAGCCAAAATAACAAGACAAACAATTGCACAAACCCAGTATCCATGTACACATCAACTTATTTTCACTAAAAAAAAAAAAAAAAAAAAAAAAAAAAAAACCCGAACTGCACAAAAATGGCATTGCACACTCCTTTGACTTCATCCATGTACACGTCAACCTATTTTTACTTAAAAAAAAAAATCCCAGAATTGCACAAACTTCCATTGTGCACTCTCTTTACTTTGTTCATGTACACATAGATATATTTACACTTAAAAAGTCAAAGGAGCACCAAATTCTACAATATAGGGCAAAAAAAAATGCAAAATCTCAATAATAAAAAACATTTACATTTAAACCAAAAATAAAATAACATAGAAAAGGAAAAACATGTTATATATTTAAGCACTACCAAAAGCAAATATTCACTTACCATGATTTTCGAGTTCGCTTCGTACACCCCGAGCCACGTAAAAATCAAAATATCAATCATACTCAAATGACTTTTTTCAAACCAGGTACTCTTTCTGATCGAACACTTCACATAGTGACCATCTGAACCTTTTCTTCCTACAAACCCATTCAAATCCATCTAAACGATTTTTACGTTCGACTAGACGCATATCCTTCCTACATACAAAACACTTATAATGGCTACTAAGTAAACCTACATTTACACACACAGTCAATTAAAGCTCTTTTCCCCCTTTTGCTCCAAATTGTACAGAAACTTCAAATTACAAATAATCTTACTACATTCGGCCATTCTACTACCGTCTAAAGAATCAAACACACACACACCACAAAAACGCTTACAAAACATCCCATGATTCAAAATTTCCCAGAATCATGCACCTGATTATGTCACAATAGGGTTTCCATAACATTCAACTACTCAGGCTACCATAAATGAAACAACAACTTCACTATAATACAAGGGGTATACCTTAAAGTCTACTTTACCCCAAATAAATATGAAGTTTTTTTTTTTTTTTTTTTTTTTTTTTTTTGGTAAATTTTGATACTCTTTAGATCATAATTGCTCTTTATTTCATAAATTATGGTTTCATATTTTTAATTGCATAATTTCTGCATGCCATCTTACCAGATTCAAATTGATGATCTATAATCCGGAATCGCCGAAGTCCCAATGAGTACGGACTTTGTACTGTATCTATTAATCTCTGTTTTTTTTTTTTTTTTTTTTTTTATTAAACTTATTTTATTCTTCCTTTCACATTTTGAAAATCAGGTTCATTCCAAATAAAATTCACCTATTTTTTATGACTTATTTTTAAAATTTGTACTTTTAAATAATTTTTATAAATTTTTCCAAAGAAAATTTGAATTATAATCTATAAAATTTTTACCATCAAGTAGACGTATTTCTAAGCCTACCTGCAAAAAATTACAGTTTTTTATTCAAAATTTCCGAAGATATGTGTGAATTTACATATTGGCACGTTTTGAAATTTCGCATACCTGTTGAAAGCGATAAAACATCAAATGTGGTTTAGACACTTTGCTAAAATTATTTAAAAGTAGGAATGATGGGACTTTTTTTCTGCTCATGCACAATGTAAAAAGGTAGGAACAAGGTGTCTTTTTTTCTGCTCTGACATAATGGAAGGGAAAGGAAGATTGGTTGCTATATTATTAAGAAGTTCGTTAAGTGATTTATTCTTGGCATAAACTGAAAAAATTGCGCCAAGATAAATTTTTGTATTTCTCCATAAATTAAGCACCAAATTTTACAAAATTTAACATCTGGGCATAATTTGAGTCGTAGAATCGAAATACGGAAAACAGTTTGGTATGTTATTTCAGAAAAAGTCCAATTTTGTGCCAAAATACCTATATTAGAACAATGCTATATATAAATCTAATATATAAGTTGCACTTTTGAGACATGAAAATCGGAATTTTAATTTTGTCAATCAGCCCAGTAGCTAATGGGAGATACAGAACTGTCTTTTTTTTTTTTTTTTTTTTTGGTGCAGTGTACACATATCTGAAATTGATGCAAAATCTTTGTTTTACTTTACGGCATAAAGCTAGCAATATTGTTGACTTTTGTACTGATTTGGAATCGTGCTTCCCTTCTGATTTAGCACAATACAAAACCAGGCGGCAGATCACACAAATATATGAAATTTATGTGCGTGGTCTCCCCACACGTTACACTGCTCGAGCTGTTATGAGGTGTGAGACAACAAACTCTAACATTGCAGTAGCAATAATTCTTTAACTATAATGAATCAGAGGATGTAAAATACAACTAAAAAATTGTGATCACATAACTAACTCAGTATGCAAACTGTTTTAGACAAGGCAAGAACTCGGAATACTCCTAAACTCTTTGACTAGAAAGATTCTTGCCATTAGGAAGATCCTCACATAATGAGGACAATAACCTACAACAATCATTTCTATGCCTTCAATCTTATTATGTATTGTAATAGTCAATTATGTCTCATAGATTTATATCATATGAATTTTTGTTTGATATGCAGCAAGTAATTGCAACTTAACAATGCAACCAACACTAGTTACCACATGGAGTCACACCATCAGTGCAGCATATTGCCATTAACCTAAAGTGTTTAGCATTTTTTTTTGTCTTCAACCCCAGCATATAGTCTTTGGTGCTGTTTACAAACAACTAATACAATAATCAATACTGTTACTTTATATTTCAGTTTACATATAGTTATATATTTTTGTTACAAAAATCATCTTGAAAATAAGACAACATAAAATTTCCTTTAATAAATTATAAATACATATTTACACATTCTGCAAATATAAAATACTGGTGACATTTTTAATTTATCAAGAATCATTTATTAGCATTCAAACCACAAAGACTACTGATGATTTAAAAACTACAGGCATAAATGATAACATTCATCAACCAAACACTTACTTGCGATATTGGTGTCACAATCAAAGAATCCATGCCTGTTTTAGAGTTGTAAACATTCTGTTTAACAAAACCAGGATCAACCACATAGTAAATCCCATCAATTGTCAAAGAAGTTTCTGCAATATTTGTAGCTATGACAACCTAAAATAAATGACTTACATTATGATACTTGAATCGAAAAATTTATGATCTGAATTTCCTTAAATGACCATTACACATTCTTAAACTATTATTTTCAAGAAAACATGAATATGTATTAGTGAATTATACCGCATACAATCAGTATCATAAAATGCAGTACACAGGTTACGCTAAAAAATATAGCATATAAGTAAATGATATATGTATGCTTTACTTTGTAAAAAACATAGCATATACTAGCATAGCTAATATCAATCAGGGTTGCCACTCAAACAGGAGAATGAAATTCCCTGACTTTTCCAGATATGTTTCAAGAAAATTCCAGTCTATCCGCGTAATGTACGTTGGCTGTGCTAAGAGGTAAATTAATTATGGTATTACTTGTATTGTGTAGCAAATTCACTTAATTATTCAATAAATCCTAGAGGACATTTATTCTTAATTATTCTTGGTATACTTTGTTTGATAATTTTGTTTAGTTTTCCACTTAAGAAACTTAATAAAATTTAAGATATATATATTGGATAACAAATGTATGTTTTATTTAATTATTACTCATGATCATCATCACCAGTTCAACACGAGGCTAATCCGGTCCTTATAAATCACAACGCAATGCTAAATAGTTAGGTTAGATTTTAGGTAAATTTAATTTGCGTGAGGTATGTTCTTAAAAGGCACCTTAACACTTGAAAACACAAATATAATTATAATAGTTGTTGTTTTCTCCACTGAAGATTGAGATTAGAATCTTTCCAATCTGGAATAAAATAAGGCTTTTTTTGCAGACATTCTGCAGCTAAACGAAAGAAAGAAATCTATTTTAATAAATTGAGGCATTTTATATTTATTTTGCAGCATACATAAGGAAGAAATATGTGCATTAAATTTCGTGATGGTATTTCATCATACTGCAGTAATTAATTTCAGGATTATGCCAGAGAAAATTTCCTGAAATTTGGAAATATTATTTACTAATAATAAATAAATTTAGAGGGAAGAAGCAACATTAAATTATATGAATAACATAAAAATAATTACTTAAAAATTGAATTAGAATAATCAACGATATTTTAGCGAATATAGTTATATTACATGGCTAGCCTAGATGACTGATTACTATTTTTTTATTTTACTGCAAAATGGCAAGGTATTTATTAAAAAGAAAAAAAAAAGGTTTAAAAAGATTTTGCGGTAAAATTCTAGTATACGGTAAGGCTTTGGCACGATTTTGAAAATTGTCGCCAAGACCAAAATGACCCGTTTACTGCGCATCAAGATGTCGCCAAATCCTATTATTATTCTAACCAAAGAACGTCTATGTAAAGAAGAAAAGGTTCCATACAAGTAAAATGCTATTACGCCGCTAGAATGCGGAGGGAAAATTTGCCAAGGGATTTGGCGACGGAACCTGGCGGCCAGAATTTCCCTCTCCGCGATGTGTACAGGAAATTGAGAAACACGTGTTAAGAAGAAACGCTCTTTGACAAAAAGAAAACTACGAAAATCCGTTTTTAAATTATTGCGAAAAAACCAACGTTTCCCAGGCAGCATGCATTCGTAAATTGCACGAGAAAAATACGTGCAATTTACGAATGGCCTTTCGTATAAAAAACGTTCAAGTTGAACGTAAAAATATCATAAAAAGTGTCCAGTGGCAATTACTAAATATTTACGTATATTTTTACATTACACTATACGTAACTTTTACGTAAAATTTAGGTATATTTACGCGAGAGACTACTGTTCATTCGTAACTTTTACGTATAATATACGTAAATTTCAGGAATTTATGTATATTTTACTAAACATTTACGTATATTTTTTAGTAAAAATTTACGTATATTCATCGCATATACGTAAATCTCAATTTTTTTGCTTCACGTATGCGTATATATTTAGTAAAAATTTACGTAAATTTCCCCGATTTTTTACTGTATATAAACGTATATATTAGGTAAAAATTAAGGTAGATATTCCCCGTATTTTACGGTACAAAAACTTATATATTTGATAGAAATTAACGTATATATTTCCCGGTAATTTACGGTACAAAAAACGTATATATTTGATAGTAATTGACCTAAATCTTCCCTACGTTTTCTTTGCATATGCGAATGACTTTGGTAAAAATTTAATCCGATGTCTTCTCCCACTTTACTGTGTATAAATGCACATTTTTTGGTAAAAAATTTGCATAAATCTCCAATTACCTTTTTCACTGCATTTTTCATTAAATGTACTTATTTTAATCTCATATTTTTTATATAAATCTATGCACAAAAACTTTCTGTATGCTATGATTAAAAGGTAAAATGTCATTTTTATATCAAATTCTTACATATCTGCCTTTTAGGTTATGTACAGCAATATGGAATATATATGTAACTGGAAAATTTAAATGCACTAGTAAATGCAAAAAAAAAAAAAAAAAAAAATTCTATTAAAAAATTACGTAACACTTAAAGGCTGAAAATCACTTTTAATATTTCATTTCAAAGTGACTACAAAATATGCAATAAATTTTGTAAACATCAATTCTGTGTTTTAAATCAATTAATGCTATCGTTCATTTGACATTTTTGTTTACTAAATTCATTTCATAAATTTAAATTTAGTAAACAACTGTAGCAAACAGTTGTTTACTAAATAACACTTTAAATAAATTATTTGCTTTTCCGAAGGACATTTTTCTATGCCATGTAAATGAACGATAGCATTAATTGATTTAAAACATAGAACTCAGGTTTACAAAATTTATTGCATATATTGTAGTCACTTTTAAATGAAATATTAAAAGTGATTTTCAGCCTTTTAGTGTTATGTAATTTTTGAATAGAAATTAATTTTTTTGCATTTAAATTTTCCAGTTATATATATTCCATATTGCTGTACATACCTAAAAGGTGGATATGTAAAAATTTGATATTAAATTAATTTTATCTTTTAATCATAATATGCAGAACATTTTTGCATAGATTTATATAAAAAAATAAGAGATTAAAATAAGCACATTTTACAAAAAATGCAGTAAATAGGTAATTGGAGATTTATGCAAATTTTTTACCAAAAATGTGCACTTTACACAGCAAAGAGGAGAAGACATCGGACTAAATTTTTACCAAAGTCATTCGTATATGCAAAGAAAACATAGGGAAGATTTAGGTCAATTATTATCAAATATATAAGTTTTTATACCGTAAAATACAAGGAATATCTACGTTAATTTCTATCTAAAGTACAATATAGTTAATTAACAAATTCAGTAAATGAATGTAGCACAAAAGAAAACATCATATGTTTAGATTATTTGAATGAGTGTGCTAAATTTTAAAATTGTTAAATATAGACCAGGAAATTGTATAAAACTTACCTTTTCCAATAGTTTACCAAGTTGACTTTGTTATTTTCCTTGAAGATGAATGTTTAATGTCACAAATATTTCATTCATATCTTCAGATAATACACAAATATATACATATTTTATTTATTAAAATTCAGTTTATCCTAAACATGTTAAAGAAAATATTAATTTGCATGCAAGTTAATCGAGTAGCTTCTGTTTTAATTACACACATAATTATGATATGTAAAAATTTTACATTTATCAGTCAATCTTGCAATGTATTGTAATCTATTATTGTTGTCTTTTTCAGTTTAAAATCTTATAAATATATTAGATCAGTACTAAAAGTTCACCTCTACAAAAGAAATGCTTTATTGAGGTATTTTTAAAAAGTTCCCTTTTACAAGGTAACTGTTAATTTCATAAATAAGTTCATAAAATTATGCAAATTCAAAATTACCTAAATATGTTCTTATTTTTATCTTATATACCAGATAAAATTTCAAAAAGTTAATTTTGTTTAGGAATATTGAATTTTTTAATATTTATCTCATGTGACTTTTTCTATAACATCATTATAAATGTGCATGTTGATGTGGACATACCAATTTTTTTTTTTTTTCATCAAATAGCTTTATGGTATTAAATGATTTAAAAAGAGGCAACTGGACAAAAGAAAGCAATTAGAAGTTGGCTAATTTTTTATTAATTTGTTGTCAAACGCTGTGCATTTTAGATTATGCTCATATGATGACAATGAGTTATTTAAATTATAAAATTATTATGAACATATCCCACATAAATTAACAAGTATCAAATTTCAAGTTGTTTGAAGTATTATGAACTGTAATACTTGCAAAAGAAATACACATGAAATTAATTTAAGAATTAGGTTTATTTTACAGGTATTCGAAAACTGCAATTACTGTTAAACAATAAAAACTAACATTAAATCTGAAGAGCATATTTTTTTCAATAATAAAATTCAACATAGACTTCATGCAGCTTCGCCATATTTGTTCTATAGTTCGCTGTCTTTAATATCCTGCTCGATTTTTGTAAAAGTGAATTCTTTGTCACCCAATGTTTTGAGAACAGCTCCTAAACAAGAAAAAGAAAAATTTGTAATAATTTCACACTTCAGATGTTTTCAGTTTTTAAATATAGTTGAAGTATTAAAAGATGCATATAAAATGCACTGAGTATTTCATATTTAAAAATTTACATTTCAGTAATTAAAAATTTAATTTCACACTATCACACAGTAAGCTTCAATTATATACCTTACACAATGCCTATAATTTCAAGTGAAAAATACTTAAGATTTGTTTAGAACTGCAAGGTTGAGAAAGTCTTTAATGGCTATGTTTGTATTTAAGTACATGAGAAAAAACTTAATTTTGTATTAATTATATTGCATTAGCCTTTTCAATTTTACTCCTACATATAGTAAAGAATATTCACTTTCTTACAGATAACTTTTTCTTAAATAAAGAGTAAGCAGAAAACTAATCACAACACTATATACATATAACAGAATACTTCATAAACATATACATGTCATTAACATACGTATATGCATTAACAGGCTATTTTACACATTTCAATAAACCAGAAACCAATACACAATCAAAAGTATTATCAGTAAATTCCTCCAAAATCAGAGCAAA